TACCCTCTAGCACTTCAACACTCAACCGAACACAAAAAAGGAGGTCCCAAAAAAAATATTTTTATAATTCTTAAAGTACAAATAGATTCAGAGGGCTAAAAAGAAGAAAATTAAAAAACCAAAGATTAAAAAAATTGGGAATTTTTGTTCAAAATACCTACAATAGAGAGGAGAAAAAAGTTCAACAAAAAAAATCAAATTTGAAATATTTTTCAATTCGACCATGTCTTAAAAACACAATAAAAAAAATAAGACCACCATTAAGAAAAAAGAAAAGCTGGAATTTTTTTATATTCCAATTTAAAAAGAAAAAATGCTTCCCAACCCATCATAAATCACTGCACAAATAAAATAAGTAAGAAATTTGTACTGCTAGGATGGTGAAAAAGTGGTAATTGAGCGTTTTCGACTTTAGATTTTCGTGGAAACAAAAAGTTGGTTTTGTTTAGACATAGTAAAAAAAAATAGAAAGGTTTAAGGAAAAATAATAGGTGAAAGATTTAAGGATGGAGAAAACAAGAAAATGATGGCTTCCTCAATAGGATCTAACGGCTAGAATGATGACAATGAAGAAATCAAAGAAAGAAGGTTAGAGTGTTTTTACAGAGATAATGAGGAGCAGCGCTAGCACCCAAAAAAAAAAAAAAGGGGTGGGGGTTGTACAGTTAGGGTTTTTTCAAGTATATAGTGTAGGTTTCTAAACAGTAGTGTTTTAATTAGTTGGCTAAGACACTAGAAAAAAAAAAAAAAAAAAAAAGAGAGGCGGGTTGGACTAGGATCATTAAATTGATTAAATCCAATTGTAGCTAAGATACTTACTCATTCTTTGTATTTTTTATTTTAATTATTTAATGTTTAATTTTTATGCATGAATTAAATTTATAAAATTATTTTGAAAAATAATGAATTATAAAAATGATCAATTGACTAAAAATTTATTTTTTTTATTTTTTTAAAAAATTATGAGTATGAAATTATCTATACTCATTAAATATTTGCTATAATAACAATAAAGATATATTTAAAATATTCGTATGGTATATGTACGGAATATATATAATATAGAAATTTAAGGATGGAAATGAGAAATAAGATACCCTCCCAATATCTTATCCATTGATTTCTCTACATCTACACTTCCATTGTTGACCATTTTACACAAAACAAATGGTCAAACATTAGAGTGTACAGGCTCAAAAAGGTTGAATGTCTAATTTAGTAAAACTGTTTGAGTTGTTGTTAAATTTAAGATTAAATTGTTTTATTTTATTCAAATAAAAATTAAATATTTTGAATTTATGACAATGTCAAAATTTTCATATGAAAGTGATGAGATGAAATACACGTGTCATATTATAACATAAAAGAATTGAAATCAGGCTAACCTGACCTTTTTTTTATGCTGATTTGAATTAAATTCATGTTGACATGAGTTTTTTTAGATTTGGCATATTTTTTTAACTCATAACAGAAAAGCTTTAATTAATCAATTGAAAATAAACATCAAAACTCATACACTGCCTTTAATTTCAAAGCTCTTGATTTCAAAGCAATCAGAGCTCTCTCAATAAAACTCTAATTTTAGCACTAACCCTTGAAAAGAGAACCCTAGCTCGTAAATTTTAAGCTTGAAATCTTTAACTTGCAAACTCTTCAATACCAACCCCCACCCTCCCTAAAAAAATAAAAAGGAAAAAATTAAAACATGAAGATTGTTCTCTAATTCCAAGTGAACAAATATACAGAAAGGGAGAGTGATAAAAAAAATCTTATTAAAATTAGAAAAAAGCAACTAGAATCAAAAGACATTAACCAGCTCCATCATTCAAAAAAATTTAATGGTGTCCTATATGAGCTGTTTCTAAGACCTAAGGAACTGAAGAAAGTGAGAGGGCTAGAAGAATTGGAGTAAGAGATTAATAAGAGAATCAAATCAAGCAAGGGTTCGAGATAATTCTATTGTTTAAAGGTGACACATTTTTAAGCAATTGTTAGTATGGAGAAACAGTGGAAAATGATTTGGATTGATAAAAAAATCATAAATAAGAACATTCAAGTTAGAAAGAAGAATCCAAAGCAAAAAAAAAAAAAAAAACCATAAGAAGAATATAAACTTGTACTGACTTAAAAAAATCAAAGGATTTGAAAAACACAGTTTTGAACTCTGCCTTCTATCAGTTCACAACTAGCAAAAATTAGCTTACATGTGATTATATCATAAGATTCACCTCTAGAACCCTACAAATTTAATATTTTGAAGAACAAAATCAGATAAATTTACAAAAATTATATGTTAAAAAACAAAGCATGAAAATTTTGAAAAAATGCAAAATTTTTACTAACCTTAAAATTTTCACATCTAGATGAAATCCTATGTGAATTAGAAATTGCATTAGGTCTTTTACTTTGAGAATAATTTTTCTAAAATTTTAGGATGAACAAAGGAAGGAGAAAGGAGTAAACAGAACTTAGGTTTTGAAAAGAAAGAGAAAAAATGAGAATAGAGAATAATTTAGCAAAATAATAATAATAATAATAATACTATTTAAAGATTATTTTTAAAATTAGAAAAATTACATGTCATATCCATTTGTTAAGTTTCTTAATTTTAACGATGCGTGTATTTTACCTCATTATTTTCGTTTAAAAAAGTCTAACATTGTTTTAAATTGTGACAATGCTCTAAATTGAGTTTACTGTTGAATTGCAACGAGCATTTAGTTCTGAAGTAAACGTTTAATTTACAACATTTTGAATTGACAATGTCAGACTTTGAATTCAAAACTAAATATTTTGAATTGATAATATTATTACAAGCATTTAGTTTTGAATTGAGTAATCAATTAAACATTTAATTTTAAATTAAATATTTAGTCACTCGAAAGCCAAGTCATGATGCTTCGTGTTAACTTGGAATAGAAAGCTTCATTAGTAAATAGTCAATTTGGAAATTGGTAAGCCTTGAAAATAGAATGGACCTATATTTTCCATTTGATTAACATCTAAAATGGTTCATTTACTACATATTTTTTTTCTCTTGGATATTTAAAAAAATAAAATTTTCACTTAGGTATTTTTATTTTTATTTCATCAAATATTTTGATGCTTTATATGTTACTTCAATGATTAATATGGTATGAATACCAAAAAAAATTTTAAAAAATTAAAAAGAAAATTTTAATTTAAAAAAAAAGAAAAAGATCATAAAGAGAAAAAAAGGAAAGAAGGGAAGGAGAGAGAGAGAGAGAGCGAGGGTGCACGAAGACTAATTATTGTTGAATATGTCCTGCCATGTAACCAAAATGAATAAATTAACTAGAACGGTCGTCTAATGAATTACGACACATGCAATAAGCCATTGGTGTCCTGAAGTTGAAACTTCAAAGGACTTTGCACCCAAAGATGCATTTTACGTATACGATAGGTATGTTATGATAATCAATTTGAAGCTAAAAAGTTAAAATAAGGTAAATCATCTCTGGCTGCAGAAAGAAGGCTGCCGCTTGGCCTCATTAGTCCACTTTTAACGTGATCGTGTCAAATAAAAAATGTAACGTCAAATAAAAAATGTAACGCCTGATATTTGTTTCAACCCGTGTGAAACGGCCGTTAAAAAAGCCGTCAACACCTAGCAGAAACTCTGGGGAAAAAAATTCTGCCACTTTTCAAGCAGAAGTCAATGTTCATTGCAGCAGTTGGGAGAAACTTCAAGCATTCAAAGGTTAAACCATCAAAACAGTGCTTAGACCATGTAAAATTAATATCAGATTTTTTTTTCATAAGAGGAAATAGGAGATGATCGGATTAGAACTCACACCAATATATCTTCTTCAAAGACTTTTGATCACTAAATCAAAAGATGAAAGACAAAATTAATATTAAATGATACTAATTTAAAAAGTCATTTTATGTTTTCGTAATCAAGCAATAATATCAATATCAAATGCTGAAGGTCTAGAACCACCTGTCAACTCTGATTTCTATTTCAGCCAAAACAGTGGCTCTCTGGTAAAGTCTTTGTCGCCCTTTCCTCACTCATAGTTTAAGAATTTATTAGTCAAGACTTGAGCATACGTTGACAACCACAAAAACCCAAAAATACTGTCAGCTACAGAAGAAGCAGATTTTTTTTTTCTGAATATTAACCACATCCAATATTTTTAGGCTATTTTCTTCCAAGTAATTGATTGATTTATTATTTTATGATTACAACAACATCATAAGTAGTCTTCTTGACCGTTTCCACAATAACAAATCCTATGCGTAAAAAATTTATGAAATTAATAATTGAAAATTTTTATTGTGAGTGACCACCTAAAAAATTCTTTTCATATTTGGTAGTGCATCAACTTTGGTATGGCTCCTTCTCCCTACTCCTTTTAATGTTGTTCTTATTTATTAAATATTTATACTCTTTAATTTAAATAAAAATAATAATATTTTTTTAAAACTAAATATTCATTAAAAGTTTTTGCTCTGGATATATTTAATTTTTTTAATTTCCTGTGAGATATGAGAAGTTTTTTCGTTAAATAAAAATTTTAGATATATTTGGTTGAATTTAATATTTAAATTTTATCTAATTTTTATTTTGATCAAAATTTATTAAAGTAATTAAAACTGATACATTTAATAAATTTTAATAATCTTAGTAATCATGAATGTGTGTGTATATATATATATATATATATATAGGTTTATAGGTTATCAATTTTAGTATATTTAAATAATTTTAATGATTTGATTGAGATAAATTAAAATTTAATCATCCACATGAGATTTAGGTATAAATTTGATAACTTTTGGTGAAATTTATTATAGGTATTAAAATACGACGGCATAAATACGATCAATTAACTTAGAACAGTTTTTTAATACCAATATTGTAAACATTGAAGTCACGAGGAGACTAAGTTAACAATAAAAGAGCTACGCGTAATCTCTTCATTCCAGTAAAAGGTAGGTGTCCGACTGTCCATTATCTACAGAGAAGTGCTTGCCAGTTCCCACACGGGGAACACTCTGTGTAATTGAAGATTTATTGCCAAGGGGTGATGATGTACGGACTTTGAAGAATAATAGTATTAGGAAGGCGTCATTCCCAGCTGGTAAAAGGATCCAAATATCAGCCATCCAGTTTCCATGACATCCAAAATTATCTTCGCCTTTCTTTTCATTTTATTCCTTTCTTCTCAATTGCAATTCCCAGAAGCACAAACTTGGGTTAAAGCTGGTTACTGGTATGCTAACGGTGAATTTCCCATACAAGACATAAATTCTGCCTTGTTCACTCATCTTTCATGCGCTTTTGCCCAAGTGAACACTTCAACTTATCAGTTCTTTGTCCCCTCTGTCTCTGAACGATACTTCTCAACCTTTACAAGCATCGTCAAGCGAAGAAACCCGTCTGTTAAAACACTGCTGTCTGTCTGGAATGGAATCTCTGCAACAGGAAAATCTATAACTGGTGAAAAAGTTAATGACTCAATTTTATCTTCAATGATCTCAGAGTCTTCTAGAAGGAAGTCTTTCATTGATTCTTCAATAAAAACAGCTAGGCTTTATGGTTTTGATGGAATAGACTTGTTCTGGGTTTGGCCTAACAGCACAGACTTGTTCAATGTTGGGGTTTTATTGGATGAGTGGCGAACAGCCATAAATTCAGAACCAATAAAACCAAGTCAGTCACAATTGATCTTGACAATAGGGGTTCGTTACTTGCCAACAATTGAAATGGTAAGTTATCCAATCTCCTCCATAAGTAGGAATGTTGATTGGGCGCATGTTGTGGCATATGACTACCATTTGCCTACCAGGGAGAATTTTACAGGCGTCCATGCTGCTTTGTATAATCCCTCTAGTCATGTTAACACAGATTTTGGCGTCAGGGAATGGTTGAATAAAGGATTTCCACCAACCAAGCTGGTTTTGGGATTGCCTTACCATGGATGGGCATGGAAATTGGTGAGCAGCAAAGATAATGCTATTGGTGCACCGGCGTCAGGTCCAGCTATCACCATTGATGGTTCTATGGGCTACAAAACCATCAAATCATACATTCGGGATTACGGTTATGGAGCTGCTCCTGTATACAATGCAACTTATGTAGTGAACTTGTTCACGTCTCCAACACTTTGGATCAATTTTGATGGTGTAGAGGCGGTCAAAGCAAAAATTTCCTATGCAAAGGAGAAAAGGCTTATTGGTTTTAAAGCGTTTCATCTTTCAAATGATGAGAATTGGGCTCTATCGCGGGCAGGTAGGTTCTAAATTTCTTTAATGCTTTCAGGCATGTGATTATTTCAATTGGGCAACCCTCTCTAATCCCTTAAAGCATGAGGCTGATTCAAATGCGATAAGATTTTGGTCTAAGAAGTATAAAACATCTAGGAAGAGCAAATCTTTTGTATCAACAAAATTAGACGGGAAGGAATTTCTTTTCTCTGGCATCTCAGAAGATTTTGTATTTCACTTGGTATATTAAGAACTCTGCATCAGAGAACTAGAATTTTTGCAGCTTAAAATCTTTCATAACTTTCTCAAATCAATCTTACAGAACTCAAACAAAACAATATAGATACTGAAAACTCTAACAATTTTGAGGACAGATTCTAATTAACATGCTCAACTACATTGCCAGCTCAAGAGGAAGAAAATCAAGAAAACAACAAGTGGCTGTTGCTTAAAATCATCCTTCCAGTTTCTGTAGTTGTTATACCGGCAGCTGCTATGCTGTATTACTTGCGAAGGAGAAAGGTCAAATCAAAAGGTAACTCTACCTTCAACCATGAGAATAGGAATTGAAGCAAATATTTAAGTTGTTAACAAGCCATAAAAGGAAACACTTTTTGGTGATCCTTGTGCATTTTTTTTTTCAACAGGGGAAATGGTTTTAAGAAGCGTTCCTAGCCCAAGAATTAATACATCGGCTGCTGAAAATTTTGGCAGTGATGCTTCTCATTTGCTAGTATTCAGGTTTGCCAACATGAAAGCGGCTACAAATAACTTTTCAAGTGCAAATAAACTTGGAGAAGGTGGTTTTGGTCCCGTGTACAAGGTATATAACCTGTATATGGTCAATGAAAGTGCTTATTTACTTGTGTGAACTACTTCTGAAGGCATTGGGACATATAACACGTATTAATGAAAAAGAAAGACCATGACATGGCGTCCAAACAATGGAAATGACTTAGATGAAGCTTTTAGATGAAGTTGATGAAGTTCTTTATTAATGATCAAATAAAAACCAAAATAAAAAATAAAAACATCGAAAATCTTATTACATTGATTAAGTGTTACAAAATTTTAAAAAAAAAAGTTTAATAAATTTTGATATACATTTTAGATAGGTATTTTTAGTGAAAATTTTGACATAATTTTTAGATCAAATTTGTATTATAAACTGCATTTTTAATAATTTTTTGCAGAAAAGGCTAATGATAAGTATCCCTTTCGAATTATGATAGGGTAAACTACCAAGAGGTGAAGAAATAGCAGTAAAGAGACTTTCCAGATCTTCTACTCAAGGACTTGAGGAGTTCCAAAATGAGGTTACCTTGACAGCGAGACTTCAACATGTAAATCTAGTCAGACTGTTGGGATATTGCACTGAGAAGGAGGAAAACATGCTGATATACGAGTACATGCCAAATAAAAGCTTAGATCTCTACCTCTTTGGTATGCTATGTCTTTTACCAAAGTTTAAAGCATGTACAGGACAGAATTCTATACTTGATAATATGATCCAAAGTAGTTTTGTTTTTCCTCTTTCTTGTCTTTTGGGTTCTAAACTTTTCAACTGAGCTACTATAGTTTTTTGCAGACCCAATCAAGCGGTATATGTTAGACTGGGTAAAGCGTGTGCATATCATTGAAGGGGTCACTCAAGGGCTTTTGTATCTCCAAGAATATTCAAATATTACAGTGATTCATCGGGATTTAAAAGCTAGTAACATTTTACTGGATGATGAGATGAACCCCAAGATATCAGATTTTGGGATGGCTAGACTTTTCAACAAGGATTTTTGTGAAGCAAACACTGGAAGAATTGTTGGAACATAGTAAGCGCACTTCTTCAATATAGAATTTGCTCCCTTTGATGTATGCTTACTTGCTTAGCAGTTTAATCAACATATCAATGCAGCGGCTATGTTCCTCCCGAATATGTTACAAAAGGAATATACTCCATGAAGTATGATGTTTACAGCTTTGGAGTTCTGCTTCTGCAAATTATAAGTGGCAAGAGGAATACATGTTATCACGGACCACATGAGAACTTAAACCTTCTTGAATATGTAAGCTAATCACCCTGATTTCATTATTCACTTTGACTTTATCAAACTAAGGTTTTGAGATTTTGTTTTAGGGCTTAAAGGTTAAACGATTACATTCGCAAACCCCCTCCTGCCTCCTGGCCCACTATAGGATGATCTACCAAAATGTTTGCAGATGCAAAACCATCCATTTTGGCCATGAATTCATTTTCATCTATTGTTAGAGTTACAACAAATAATGACCCTGGTTTGATGCAGGCATACGAGTTGTGGATTGATGATAGAGGCACAGAGGTTATCGATCCATCACTTGATGATTCATCCTCACCTTGTAAAATCATGAGATGTATGCATATCGCATTGCTCTGTGTCCAAGAAAATCCAAAGGATAGGCCATCCATGTTAGAAGTGTTCACAATGCTCAAAAATGGTTCAATGGCGGCTATTACTCCTAAAAGGCCAGCTTTCTCTGTGAAAGAAGATAAAAATACAGGAAGTACTTCCGCATCGCAACAAGGAATATGCTCATTCAATGATCCAGAAATTTCCGAATTGGAGCCCCGATAAGAATGCAGGTTTTTCGAAGATAGCTTAGCTTGGATATATAACAGTTAAAGGCTTTTTTTTTTCTCCTGAAACGTATTTTCTGGCAAAAAATTGTTGATTTCTTAATTAATTGTAAAGTTCTTTTGTCTACAATTTCATAGTTAATTTTCTAAGTTTCTAGCACCTTTGCTCTGGTTTGGTTGGATGCGTTAGTCCAATACTTGAAAGTCACAATAAAAGTACTTGCAATTATCTCAAGTCGCTATACCTTTTTCTAAAATTTTCTTCTTAAATATCAAAGAAGCTTCAGGTAATGACCATCACTCATGTTCGGGTAAAAAAATTATTTGGATACAAATCAGACAATAAAGATTTTTTAAAATAATAATATAAATTTATTTAAATAAATAAAAATATAATGATTTAACTTTTTTTAGTATTTTAGTAAATTAGCCAAGATTTCCTTTGGTTTCAATCACACAAAATTTGGATTGGATCAATGTGATGTATTATGATTATCATGCATCATGGGAAACTTCAAAAACGGGGCCAACGCAGCAATTTTAGCAAAAGTTTTGGTGTGCTCTTTCTATAGAATTCGCAGCTTCGACAGAATGGATTCGTTGACCGATGAAAGTTATGGAACTTTTTGTCTCAATATTAATCTCCATTGTCAAGATAATTACAAATAAATGGTTTTCTGCTTGGTACTTACTGTTCCCCAGTTATGTTTCCAGTTTAAGCTCCCTTGTTCAGGGCCTTCAATTCTGTGTTTAGTCTACTACATTTCGAATCTGTTTAATTTGCTGTTGCTTGTTTAATTCAAAAACATTTTTATGTTTTCATTAAATAAGGCTATACTTTTTGGCGCTTTTACTTTTTGATTTTTACTATTTGTCTTTTGTTTTCAATTTATTTTTTGTATTTTGTTTTTCATTTTCCATTAAAGAATTGATTTTCAGTTTCTATTGAAAAATATAAAAACAAAAATAAAAGTATCAATTAAATGAAGCGTATCATTTTATCAAGCAACACTGGAACAAAACAACAATTAACAATATTATAAACCCATTATCTTCTTTTTACTATTAAACAAAATAATTAACATTATTATAAACCTAGTGTTTATATATAATATATATTTATATTTGGTTATGGTAAAAAAAATAGAAATGTTTATAAATTTTTATATTATACCTAATAAGTGTTCATTCAATCTATATGATTAATTTTGAATTGAATTAATCAAATAATGTTATTTTATTTTCATTAATTGAATCAAATTTATTAAATTCAAAAATTAACCAATTGAACTATATTCGGTTATTTTTGTTAATTTTTTGGTTAACTAAATAATAAAATATATTTAAGTTAAATTATACTAGGTTTCAAACCCGCACTTTGTTGCCAGAATAAAATAAAGTTATATATTTGTAATTTAGTTGTAATAAAATAAAATTATGTATTAATAATTTAAATATTGAAAAATATATAAGAGAAAAAGAGTTGTGTAACTATTTATATTATGAATATTTACATTAATTGAAGTCAATGATAATGAGATATTAATCTTATTCATTAAAGATTTGTTTGATTGTCATGATCATTGAATCAAAAAAGAATAAGTAAACCTATTTGCAACTTAGCAATCAATATAGATAAATATACCTAATAACTTAAGAAAAAAAAGAAAGATAAATTAATTTAAATTTTCAATTGTTGCAAAAAGACTCTAGGATAGACAAATGCAAGGACTTCATAAAATTTAAATTAGTGTATTGGGATCTTGCTAATCTTATAAATCTATTTTGTCTAAAATTGTTATGCATCGAATTAACTCAAACTTAAATCATTTTGCAAAAAGCACAACTAAATGCTAGCCTAGAAACTTGCAAAGCAAAATGTTAGGGGTATTTTTGGGTCCAAAAGGTAAATTGATCTTTTTTCTCATTAGAGACTCTAAGCAAATGACTAGGAGCATTTTTTACTTTTAGGCCGACCTAATATGTACAACACTACATCAACTCGACTATGTCACCATTCCACCTCACAAACCCTTCACCTCTCGTCTATAAATAAAGTCATATAATTACTATCCATCCATCTTACATTTCTTCTAATTTTCCCATTTTCCACACTCCTTCCAACCTCCAATAGTTGACTTCTGACTTGAGTGTTAGAGTGCAAATGCAAGAAACACTCATTGCTTTTGCCCTTAACCGTTCTCTTTCTTTATTGTGATTTTAGGAATTTGATCCTCAACTCATAGCTCGGCACCAACACAAAATAAATACAAAGAATGACATACTATAAAGTTGAATGGAAAAGTAACCTTCAAAAAATCACCTAATGTATCAAGTGAATTTAACTTCTACTAAAATTTGCAAACTCAATTAACCAAATACTATACAATTAGAAAATTCATATTCTAATTCGTATTAGATATTAATTTATATATTTTTTAAAGTTTTAGTATCAAAATTATTGTTAATTCTTTTACTTAAAGAGAAAATAATAATAATATAATTATGATAAATAATTGTTAATGTATATGGCAACTAATAATAATAAAATAAAAAGCCAATAAATAAACAAACAAAAATTGCTTCAATAATTTTCTATAAAAATATAAATTGATTATAATGAAAACAACAAAGCAATATATAAACAAAAATTAATTTTACAATTTAAGACAATGAAAATAAATATGGCAAAGTTACATTAAACTCTGCATAGAGTTCAAGGCTATAAGAGAAAGATAGTTTAAAATAACAACCAATGATTCAACACAACAATGTTAACAAACAACCTTTGTTTGTGTGTTTGCAGTGCTAAATGATTTGAAACCAATCAACAAATAGTTTTACCAAACACACATAGAGTAGGATTAGACAACTCCATCATAAACTCTCTTCTATATAAATCTTAACTTAAGATTTACATATTCCCTCACTTCCTTTAACATTTTAGCACCTTAATAGAAAACCCCCAAGAGAAAAGTACAAGCAAAGATAATGATTATGATCCAAAGTTTGTGTCACAAATTAAAGTGTAGGTCTTGCTATAAGATACAATTATTAGCAAAAAGAGAGATAAAAAGTTCAAAATAGTATGTTAAGAAACAAAAATGCAAGCAATATTATAATACAATAGCTCTAACAAAACAATAAAACATTGGAATAGAGGAAAATAAAAGAGTTAACACCATAGAACCTTATAGTCAAGTAGTTAGAGTGTTTATAAATCATTCTCCACATAAAGAGGATAAAGATTCATAAAACTTATTAAAACTTACATTTATTAGCTTTGGAACATCATCAATTGCATGTTGACCTTGAATTGGTGACACTAAGACACTCTTAACAGCCTTGAATTGTTTTTGTAAATATATAAACAAAATAACTAAAAGTTAAAAGATAAATGGGTAATGTAAATGAGTGAGAAAAATCATAAAATTCATATCATTTAACGTAAAATGAATAAAAAAGTGTCATAACATACGTTAAGAAAGAGTTATAACAATTTTAACCATAATGGAAGGTAAAAACAACTATAAGAAGATGTTATTGTAATGTAAATTCAAAAGTAAGCAATGTAAAATTTTAGTTAATTATTATTTTGTAAATATATAAAAAAGGCTAAAATTAAGGGAAAAAAAAAACAAATACGTAACATAAATAAGTGAGAAAAAGTGTAAAATTTGTATCATTTAGTGTAAAATGGATAAGAAATGTTATAATATACTAAAAAAGAGTTAAAATAATTCTAAACTTATTAGAATGTAAGAGCAACCATAAAAAAATATTATTGTAGCATAAATAGTTATGTTAGCAATGTAAAATTTTAATTAATTATTGTTCATGTAACTATATAAGAAAAACATCTAATAAATAATAATAATAAATTTTGCTAACTTAAACATGCGAAAAAAAGCGTAAAATTCATATCATTTAACATAAAATATGTAAAAAATATTTTAATTCAATAAAGAAAAAGTTATGATAATTTTAAACGTAACGGAATGTAAAAATAATTTTTAAAAATATTTTTGTAACATAAATAATAAAATCAGTAACGTAATATTACATTTTAATTAATCATTATTTTTGTAAATATATAAGAAAAATAGCTAATAAATAATCAAAAAGATTTTAAAGTAAACAAAAGAGAGTTACAATAAAATTCCTCTCATAATTGAAAGCTATTATTATACCATTTTTAATCTTAAAAATTTATTAACATAAATATTTGTGTAGTAATTATTTTCACTGCATAGTAAAAATATTTATATAATAGTAAAAAGTACCACATCTTGATCGAGTGACATTTTAAATATGTTGAATTTTTTATAAAAAGATACCAAAATTTGCAATTAAAGTATCTATGAAAAAATTCATACAAATAAAATGGTACAATGGTAACTTACATTTTTATGAATTATGTTAAAAAATTTTTAAGACTAGAAAGAAAAATCATAAAAATAAAATCATAAAATATATAAGAAAAATAAAGAAAAAAAATTTTAAAATTAAAAAAGACAACATAAAATAATTGATATTTTAAAATTAAAAATATTATTAAGATGAATACTAACATTTGTATTAATTATTGTTGTAGTATTGTTATTTGTTAATAATGAAGAAATAACAAAATATTATTTATTAAAATAATATATGACATAACTATAGTTGTATTTTTATTTTAATGTTATTGTTTATAGATAAAAACAAGTATAAAATCTGTAATTTATATTTTTTTACTTGTTAGAAAAATAAAATAAATAAAATTATTTTTATAATTTTTAGTTGATCTGTTAACTTGTTTTACTATTTTCACTTTTTTTAAATTTTTATAATATTTTCAATTTCTCACTAAATATCATGATATCACAAACTTTATAATAAAGCTGATAAATTATAACCTTATTATGACAAACTCATCTCTCAATTTTATACTGTTCGAATACTATTTTGAAGGCTATCAATGTTTTGCCATTTGTCATCTTTTCATTGGCACAAAAAAGAAAGATAAAATCATCTTTTTAGCTTTTAGACACTTGTCCTACGTCTTTTAACATTATTGTTATAAATTAAAAAAAAAAAAACCAAAAATTCAAGGAGAGAAGAAGTTTTTAGATGTGGATGAAAAAGACGAGACGAGCGAAATGAGCGGGCTTTCTAGAGAGTTAAAAAAAAAAAAAAAACTATTTCTTTTTTGCTCAAAGCTATTTTGGGGACTTTTACAGTAAGTTTAAGTTTTTTAGCTTTATAATAAGGTTAGCAGATAATGATCATTAGATTTATATAAT